TGGAATATTTTAAAATTTGTAACTAGGCATGCTTAACATTGAATCCCCTGCATGCATTGATTTTTACTGTGGTAATCTAATCCAGTTTGATTGAATTTTTTTTTTTTAAAGCTGTGGTTTTTATTTAAAAGAATTTTTTTTTTTTCGATTGGATTGGTTTAAAAAAAATTGATATGTAAGTCCTACAGATGGCTAAATATAAACATTGTATGGACATTTTCTGTATTTAATTAATTTTTAAGAGAATCCTTAATATAAAGTGTAACACCCCTTAATTTTACCTCATAAACTTTGAAAATAAAAAAGTTATGATTTTTTTAAAGAATTAAATTATTGCGATTTTTGTATACTATTTTGGTAAATTTGAATAAAATTAATTTAAAAAAGGGCTTTTCCTGAAAATGTTCACTATTTTTTTGTTTTTTCTATGAAGTATAATGATAACGAAGCTTCCCTGTTAATTTGAGATTTTTTCATTGAGTTTTGACATAGTTATAGCTGAAAATCAAAACAAAAAAAAGAGGGTCACAAAATTTTGAGAAAAATGCATAGTAAAAATTGACAAAAATTACCGTTCTTCAAAAATTCATAACTTTAAAACTACAATAGCTAAAAATGTGATTTTGGTGTCTAAATGTTGTTAAAAATAAGATCTATTCAATTATGTCATTAGTTATAGTTCATTAAAAAAAATATTTTTTTTTTTCCACCAAAGTATCTAATATAGGCCTATAATGTTTTTTTTTAAAAAAGATTAATTTTCCGCTTATTGAATGTTTATCCTGTTCGGCCCGCAACCTTACATGTGATTTCAGTTTTGGCCCACCAAGCGATTTGAGTTTGACACCCCTGGTCTAGACAGTCTAGAGTTCACCCTACTTGACTATTACTATACTAATTATAAGATTAAAAGTGTTCTATTTATATTACTATACTGTACTGACTGATAATGAGTAATAGTAGTCCTAAGTAGTGATAACTGATTAAAAACTTTACTACTATATTATATTCGGAATACTGAATTACATGCTTACACTCACATGCTTCATTATTAAATTATTAAAATTGTAGGCCTAGCCCTAGCGTTTTTTAATGTGCGTCTTAGTCTTATTTTGAAACAATTTCAATATGTTATTGCATATTTTATTAATAATAATATGGCTTACCGGCTTTCTTACCCAAAGTAAAACTTTAACAAACAGTATTTTATCAATAAAATTGTTGTTAAGATATGTTCAATCGTCAATGGCGTTATTTTTTTGTGTGTTAAAATGGCTCGTACTCTTCAGTCTGTGAGGCGTTAATAAATTTTTACCATGATGCCAGAATGGATGAATGACATATTTTTTAGTTGTGTTTTTTATAATTTATTTCCCTTAAAGATTAAAAAAATCAATTAAAAATTAATGTATGTCTTTAAGTCAAGTTATTAAAAAAATAACCATTTTTACAAAATAAAATATTTAAGGAAATAGTGGAACAAGGTATATGGGAGCTTGAAATATAAAAGACAGTGCACTATTTCCTTAAAACAGTTTGAACGCAGTCCTTCATTTATTATAAACTAGGGCTTAAGTCTTAAGCGGGTGCAGTTGTTTTTTTGTTTTTTTGTTTTTGTTTTTTTTACACCGGCTCCCGAGTATTGAAAATACCCCGTAAGTTCGAGTGTTACGAATAAAGAGTTAAATTCTCATTTTCTATATATAATGTATGCCAGCCTAAGGCCTACCGTAAACAGTCCTTTAAACAGTCCTACACAATACCCCTGGCTCTTTATTGAATTAATGTAAAGGTTGCCTCCCCCTAAAGAACACGTCAGTTGACAGCCCTCCCCCCCCCCACTCATTACCATTAATATATAAAATGTGGCAGTTGGGGTTAAACAGTCCTTTAAACCGTCCTTCACAATACCCCTGGCTCTTTATTGAATTAATGTAAAGGTTGCCTCCCCCTAAAGAACACGGCAGTTGACAGCCCTCCCCCCCCCCCCACTCATTACCATTAATATATAAAATGTGGCAGTTGGGGTGGGTGGGGGATGACGCTTTTTAAAAGGAAACAGGCCATACCAGAAGCAAAACGGAGGGAGTTGTTTTTTTGTTGTTGTTTTTTACTTTGAGGAAAATTCTGGTGGGTCCAGTGTTACAAGAAAGGAGTTGACTTCTCCTTTTCAAAAATATATGCCCGTCTTTAAACAATAGTCATAATACTCCCTACATACTTTTGAGCGGGTCCGCTGCTTGGGTTGGTGATCACATCCCACGCCCCCTCACCACCCCAACTCCCAACACTTATCCGGATCAGGGCTACCACAACTTGGGAAATTTCCCAAGATCTTGGGAATTCACGACCCCCCTTGGGATCTGGGGAATAATTTTGAAAACCAGGCAAAATCTTGGGAAATATTAACTTGGAGGAAGATTATTATTATATTTTTCGAAAAACGCAAACTATATAAGTGATAAAAAAAATTAAGTGAAAAAAAAGCAAACTAATTTTTGAAGTAACACGGAAAAATTAATTTAAAAAAATATTTTTTCTGGTTTTAATTTTTAAAACCATTTATAAATAAATAAGAACTCTTCTGAAATTAAAGTTAATATTGTAAATTAATAACAAGTTAATAATTAAATAAAAATTAAATTTACTTATAATTTACTTAATTATACAATGTGTTCAAAATATTATTCATCTTTAAAAAATCTAGCCTAATTTTCATCTATTTGAAAAAATATTTGTGGATTGACACACAGGTAACTAAGATATTAAAACTATACATTGTAGGAAATAAATGAACAATTCCTTTAAACAGTAGATCTTTCGAAAAAAATCATTATAATTTATATATAATGTAAATTTACAATAAAAAATACTTATTGCTTTCATAATACTATCACTCCATTTTAACTACAATTATTATTAACAAATTTTGCTTAATAGCTTTGCAAACCCAATTACCAATCACCAGACTTACAATAAGAAAACACATTTTTTGATGAAGAACCTTTTGCATTTGTAAAAGGAATTGTGTGTTGATTAGCCTTGTGAGCTTTGTTTCCAAGTGACTTCTATTACACGTGGATTGTAGATGATATTTTTACCAGAGAATTTGGAGGTAACATTTAGTAGCCTAACTCCACTGGGTATTGATATTTTGGATAATAAAATAATATAAATTATTTTTTAAAAAACAAATTGTTTATTTCTTTTATGTGATAAACATTTTTTAAAATGTATTTTTCAATAAATTTCAGTCAATTATTGTACGATGTGTTTCAGGGGTATTAATTCAATCTATTATTACATTAAGGACATAGGATACCCCCCCCCCCCTTAAAAAAACAACTCCACTATACTTTTATTATCTTGGGAAATCTTGGGAAATTTCATGACTAAATCTTGGGAAATTTGTAAAAAGTGAGTGGGAGCCCTGATCCGGATGCAAGCTACACTGAGACAAAACCCGGCAGGCACAACGGTTACGAAAAAAACGAGTTGTCATTTTCTGTGTTCCACTCAAGTGCATTTATCATATGGAACTTTGGAACCAGTAGCGATCACTAGGTCATCAAAGTTGAAGGCTTCAAAAGACTAATGGCTTAATAATAATTAATAATATAATCCAAACCCAGCAGTTCTCAATCTTTTGAGTGCTGCAACCCCTTTATAACTTATAACATGTGCCAAGTTGTGGCGACCAGAGCAAGAATTTTACCATGAAACTGAGGAACTGCTGTTGAGAAGGGAGAGGGGCAACGCTTTTTTTAAGATAAAAAGGTGTTGGTAGTAAACTTTTGATCAAAAGTCGAGGGAAACATACATGAGGGCTAAGAATGATGGAAGGTTCTGTTAGAGGTGACTCTGTGAGGCAATCCGCAGAATATTTTTGATACACAAACACCTGATTATAGTTTTGCATGGAAGTTGCCACCCATGAACATAACAAATCTCAAACATAAAGTTAAAGGGTTATTTTTTTCATTCGTTTTATGATTCCAACGTAAGCATATTATTTTAATAAATATTTATATCATCATCATGGTGCTACCATCCCGACCTTCCTTCAGTTAGGACAAATTGGATCTTTTGGAACTAAATGTGCTTTAAAATTAAATTAATATTTTTAACTGTATAAATTGTCAATAGAAAGTGTAATGGTCCTAAACAAAGATATACATTTTGTTAAAATAAAAATAAATATACATAATTCGCAGCAAACACATTATTATTTTCATAGTTTTGTAATTTCATTTCTCTTACATTTAGTTGTGCACAACTCATTGGTTTTCTAAAATTATTTTTTATTTAATTCAGTTAAACTATACACAAAATTATGTGAGCAGTATGTACTGGTTCTGAACATGCAATTTTTAATTCTCCCCATTGGGTGGAACACATGTTGGAAAATGAGAAGATAAGCATTGCATGGTTTTTTTACTACCCGGCTCCATGCTAATACTCAGCATTTCTGGGTCAATCCTAGTTTTGAGAAAGCCTGTTACTTAAATGGGCTCACGTGTCACATCTGTGCTATGCTGGTTCAGAGCATTTTAAATTTGTAATTTAATTGTAAATTAAAGCAATTTGCTGATTACTGATCTGAACATTGTGCTATTGCCACTAGAGTCAGGTATGCCAATACCCCAAGTGTCAGCCGTTACCAAGTATGTCAGACAGGTCCGCTAATACATTGCATGTCTGGTGTGTGTAAATTCCTCTAATGTGCCTGTATGTTTCATGAGTGCAAGTAGCCAACTTGGCATCAAAGTAAGGTCACACATTTCTGTTACTTTTCTATGCAAGTCATTTGAGTCACTCATTGGAGCTGCTTCTGATCAATCTCATAACCATGCAAATTGGATGTTAAATTATGTGGCCTTCTGTTATTGATACATTAATTGAACTCATTTATTTTTATGCAAAATAATATTACGTTACTTTTTTGTTAAATTTTCATATTTTCCCCAATAATAATTAATACAATGATAAAGTCAATAATTTAATGGACTTCCTTTATTTATAAAAATCAAAGTATGGAGAACTTCACAACATTGGCTAAATTATGACAATATTTACAGCTGATACATAATACAGCCATGTCTTCATTATGTATTGAATTCAGATTAAACTTAAGTATTGATTTAATGCCAGCTATGTATCAGCTATATTACAGAAATAGCTGGCATTAAATTCTATTTGGAATAAATGAATCCTTAACCCAGACCCAAATAAATCCCAAACATTATAATACTTTCAAGTTGTTCCTTAATATTTTGTCACCTAACAGTATAAGTACATTTAAATATATATATATTTTTTAAAAATTAAAATTTTTATGTGTGAAACAAAAATATGAACAAAATAAAAAATACTAAGTTATATGTAAGCAGCCTTCGGCTAAGAATTAAGACAAATCTACATCAGGTGTGAGTTTTTCAAGGTTTGCATATGGCAGGAACACAGAAGCATCAAACAAGGTTATGTTACTGCATTTATCAATTCAGATTTAATCAAGCATTGTCAGTTCAAAACACCAATGAAGTTTATGTGATTTTTTTACGGAAGTTGATGTGTGGGTTAATTAAAGAACTAGTATTTATCCTGACAATCAAAAATGTTTTATTCAATAATTGTCCCCGTTAAAAGAATGTTCCTAGTTTGAAAAACTGAAATGCTTAGAATTTACAGTTTGCAGGTAAAAAAAACAAAACTATATAGTTGATGTTTTTATTTTTATGGTTGAAGAAACTCAAATTTACATTCAGCTGGATTTCCAACTGTTGAAACCAAACCAGGAAATGATTTTTTAAAAAATTAATAAGGAAATTAAAAAAGTTGGGAAGTCCACAGACTATTTCATTTTTGTAGACACAATATTTTAAAATACTCAAATGACTGTACCATGCAAACATTTTTAACAGTGTGTTAAAGGGAGAGTAAAAAAAAAGAAATAATGTCCAGTCGGTCCTCTAATAGTGATAGCGATAGGGGCTTTGATCATAACCAGCATTGGATTGACTTAAGTTTCTGAGGAAAAAAAACAACATTTATCTTTAAAAGAGCTAAGGTAAGACTGTTTAAACAACACTAATGACATTGATGATGCAGCAGTTGAATTTTCAATAGGAAGACAATTCTGAATTTATCTTTTACGCATAATGAGTTCATGGTTTAATAAAGTTTAAACAAATGGCTTGGAATCTAAGGTTAAAATCACAATAAAACTAAAATAACTAAGCTCAAGCTCTAAACCAAGATTTCTGTTGTTTTTCCACTGAACTCCCATTACTTGTAAGTGCGAATATTTGGTCTCTATTTGTATTATTTAATAATTATCACTTCAACATATGTTTGATAGACTAACGTCAGTAATAAAAGTAATGGAACGAAAAATTGAAAAATAAAACATCACACTGTGATCTTTTCACCAATCCTTATGCCTTTTGCAACAGAGACATATGATAGGTTAAAATAAAAATCAAGTTATGCTCTTTACTTTTGATCTCTTGCTATCATTCATTATAACTAAATTACTATATTGCTCAAGGTTTTCACATTTCCAAATTTTAATTTACAAACAAAAACTTATGTCAGTGCTTCAAAATACACACTTAGAAAATATATAGCAATTCATAAATGATTTAACACAGTATGGTTCCAATGAAGAAAAGAACGTCTTAATTGAAATCAAGTTGTGCATGAATTGTTAACAAGTACCTTCCATCAGTTTACTTTATTTTACTGTTGCTAAAAAGGCATTACTTTATAATTAGAGCTGACATTAAGTCTTTGTCATTTAAAACTCGTTTTATCCTGATTGTATTATTTATAGGAACTTGTTTTATCCTGATTGTATTATTTATAGGAAACAAAAAGAACAATGAAATTTTAAATATTTTTTAGGAAACAAAATGAAAACTGAAATATTTAAAAAAAATGAAATTAAAGTTAAACCTTTGCAACTGAGAACCATTACTTTTCTTTCTGTTCAAATATGACCGTGACGGGAATTTAAACCATTGTTTTCTTTTGTGTCAACAGAAATCTTGTATCTTTTTAAACAAGGTCCCTTCTATTTAACCCCTTACTTCCATTACCAAAGCTTTACCTCGAAGTGTAGCTGTTGCTATATGCAGAAGTTGTGTCTTCCGTCTGTCTGTCTACTCCATAATCCAGGCTCGGTTGTGATTGTTGCATGCCGTAGTAGTCAGCAGGGCTCTCTTCTGCCCAACTACGTTGTTGGGATCCAAGGCCCAGGTTTTGTCTTTTCCCCCCGAAACTGTCATCGCCATAATCTGAGCTGAATCCTGATTGACTGGCTCTTCGTTTTGCTCCTGCACCAAAAGCACGAGATCCTTCGCCTAAAACAATCCATTTAAAAGAGAAATAAGGAAAAATTTAATTTATGACAAACTAAAGCCTTGAGTGATGTGAAGATAATTTGTTTTCCTAGTTAATAAAAGTCAATTATTGTGTATTTGAGGATTGTTGAAAAAAAAACAGTAACAGGTGATACAAAATAACTAAAAATGTCTTTTAAGCTTAAGTGTTTTTCTTAAAGGAACAATACAATCAGCTTCTTTGATTAAAAAATAGGAATTACCCTAACATATTATATATATACTGCTTCTTAAGCAATGCTTATAAAAATATCTGACCTGAAGAACTGGCTTGGGTCAAGTCAGTTGTTGTCAGTCCCATCCCGGCTCCCCGCTTGGCCTGCTCAACTGCAATCTGAGTTTGGTTCAACATAGCTATCTGGTTCTTAATGGCCATACTCAATTGGCTCTGTAACAGCATCATCTCTTTAGTGGCTTCTACGTTTATGCCCATATCACCTGAAAAAAAGGAGCTAAGAGCTGAGAACAAGTAACAGTTGCAGAGAGAGAGGAGGGGGTGTGGGTGTCAAGCAATTAATACAGAAATAGGTTTCATAATTATTATAAATTTGAACAAAAGGGTTAAGTTAAGAGATTTTTTTAAACAACTTACATGTTAGACATCTAAACACTTAGATATTTCTTAGAGGGAACGATCTTTTAACATTAATTATATCAGACCATTTAACTTTTCTACAGATTAACTTATTACTGAGTTATATTATTAAAATATAATTGAATGAAAAAAAAACAAAACACAACAGTTTACACATTTTTTAAAGTCGAAAATAGGTTTCTATTAATTAAACTTACCTTTTCATACTTCTCTAATAAACTTAGTCTTTTGTCACATTTCTGTTACAATTAAGCTACGATTTGATAACATTAATGTAGCTAAAACTGTTTAACTGTAAATTTTATTTCTTTTAAAGAGAAATTTTAAATCTTAACACAGTAGCAGACCTTGTAAAATAGAATCACAAAGGGGCTCAGATGAATCTTCCTAATTTGTGTTTATTCAGATCTACTATTGTTTCAGTCTCACCAGACTTGCTCACTACACATAATCACACCAGATAAGGAAGTACTCAAGGGAATCAGGCATCAATATGTTACAAAATATACAGTGCTATTCCAAAATTATAGCCTTCTTTATAATCCTGAGTGATCTATCAATGATTATCCAGGTTTCTTATATGAAATGTTTCCAAATAAAGGAAATGCATATCCCATTCCAAGTTTAATCAAAGAATGGTGGAATGCTGTTGAAAAGATCTCTAGCTTTATAAGCAGTATAAATTTAGCCTTTTCCTGTTGGATTCACAATTGATTATGGTACAGCAGAAAATCTCCCGTTGATCACAACCAAACACAAAAAAACAATGAGAGATAGCTATATGTGAGTTTGTAGGTAGCGGCTGAAATTTATCTACATTCAGAAGATTCAACAGCTCACTTTTGTGGTTATTATTACAAGTTATTATCAATCACAAACACTTTGTCTCTTCTGATATTCTGCAAACTTTTAACACAGTTTTTCAAATGAAAACTGTATCGTTGCATTTATGTTTTGTCAAAGGGGGCAAAACAAGCAGAAAATTTTCTAATAAATTGTCATTTTTAGAAAATGTAACAATGATTCACAATTTTGTTGGTCTTAAATTGGAAGAGGTCAGTTCATCAAATGCTAATTTTTGCTAAAAGTTAAGGCTACGGTTCAACTGTTTAAATATTTCACCATGATCCAAGACAGATGTACGAGACCAAATTCAGTAGAAAAAACAAAAGAAATAACAAAGTGAACATGGTAACATTTGCTTAGACAACATCGGTCATAATTGGTGCTTTATGGTCAGATACCAAAGAGTGCTAGCCGTAATCAAAATATTCAGTTTTTGCATCAATGTGAAGGTTCACAAATTTTTTTTTTTTTAAATGGTGGCTCCATGGGAGTGTTAAATCCAGAATTTTATGGTAGAAATTCTCAATACTATATGTACAGCTACAATTAAGAATTGATAGGAGAAATAATTTGTAGCCAAAAACAGTTAATTTGTTTAGTTTGCAATTAAAATAATGGCGCATTTGATTTAATTATTAATTGCATAATTTCATCAAAGAAACTTTCAAATTTATTCAACATATTACTATTATAAACTTAATTTATTTAGCTTGTATTAATAAATCAGTTTGATAAATAACATTACAGTACAAGTCATAAAAGGTCATGGCCATTGTTATGATAAGCAATAAAGATTCTGTAATCGGTTGCAATGTAAACACAATGTCAGACAAATTTCTCTCCACAGTTATCGATCTAGAATGTCAGTCTTGGATGCCATGAAATACGGAACCAGTGGAACCGTAGCCTAAGCCTTCTTTCTTGACCATGCTGCTGTACAAAATGTGATTACCTTATGGTAAAGGGTTAATATATCCATGCACAGCAAAGGGAAACTAGAAAAAACCATTGAACAACAGTTTCCATTGTGAGTCCATGTTGCAAACTTATCAATATGTACAATATATTGATATGACATTTCCACTCCCCAGTGAACGTAAAAGCATCCTTATCTCAGACCAAAATAACACCATAATAATGAGGATATAGTGCATCACATTACGCACGTTAAATTTTAAGTTTTACAGAATGCTGTATGTTGAGACTTATCATTTTTATCATTAAAACGATATTAAACAGCTACCCAGTGCTGAAGCAAACATGAGCAGATATAAATAAAGTGAAGTGAGTGGGATAAGCTAAAATATCCCAAGCTCATTATCAAATCAGGTGGGCAGGCAGCTCTGTGGTATTGAGAGATCCATCCCACGACATGGGACATTGAGTCTGACATCAAGACACACAGAGCAAGGTTAACAAAGTGAGTTTTTAAGATTATACTAACCCGAAGCTCCTGCCATACCTCCACCAAAACTTTGTTGTTCAAATCTTCTATCTGCTCTACCACCGGTAGCATAGCCACCACCAGAGCTGAAACTGTTTCTTCCTCCGGAAGCTCTTGAGTTCCAAACTGAGTTATTTCTGTTGTTACGATTGCCCGAGCCACCTCGATTACCCCTGTTTTGATTCTGCCTGATTGGGCTTCTGTTGCCAGCACTGTCCCAACCAAGGGGACCTTTCCGGATATCTGGTCTGTTGGCTCGAGCACGTGAAGCTACTTCTGGCTTTCTCAGCACTGGTTTTCCTGGCGGACCACCAACTTTTTTCTTTTCCTGGTAAGAATTGATTGGACCCTGTAATATATGTACATCTGTCAGTACCAATAAGCACCTGCCTTTTCACCTCTCATGGTAAACAACTCATGTACTGCCGTGAAAGAAAGCAGGGCTATTGTCTGATGCCACAAAAGTATCCATCTCTTCATAGCACTCAATATTCCAGGATGTGGACCTAGAAAAATCTCCAAAACTTTAAAGTAACTAACCAATATAAAAGAGGAAAAAGAAATAACCATGAGCATTATTTGCATTTCAACAGCTGAAATGAAAAAAAAAACTACTCCTTGACTTTGTATATAAATTTAATCTATTTAAATTTTCTTTTATTATCGTAATTTATAACTTTGTACAGTTCTCAAGCATTACACAAGACACACACAAATGTTTGACTAAAAAAGACTTGCTTTATGAAAAACATTGTATGTAAGGTATTCCTAGAGTGAGGTAAAAGACATAGGTTTTCACAGTAAGCAAGTAAATTGGCTTCTTATCATATAGATGAGTATAGTTCAAAATAATTTCTTTAGCCTATCATAATCTCAATGTATCTGTTGTTTAAAATACATTTTTTAAATAAAACAATTTAGAAAACAGTTCTCAACATACAAAGACTTACCTGATCTCTCCTTCTTGAAATCCAGGTACCACGACCCCGGCTCCTAAATTCCCTCTTGTACTCCTATTTGTTAAATAAGAAGAAACACATGTTTATAAAATGTAACTAAAAAGCTTCCAGAATGTTTTATATGACATAATCTGTAGTTTGAAGATCAATCTAATGAATTAGCTAAATTATTCATCCAATTAAATTTATTCTAATTCAATAACTTCAACTATTTCTCTCAATTCTAGGTTGGGTTTTGTACAAAGTTTTTTTTACCTCATTAAACGTTTTAAAAAATTATTTGCTTTACAACTGGAAGTCTATAATTTAATTTAATTTGTTTTAAACCAACCTCGAAGTATAAACATTTCCACATATACCCCAAAAACATTCAAAAAATTATATGAAGTACCCTTGGTGGACCAACATTTTTACTGGTCGTTGGTGTCTTCTTAGGGATCTCTTTTTGAGACAATGGTCCTTTCTGTGGAGATTTACTTTCAGCTGCTTTAGTCTCTGAGCTTAAAGTTTTCTCTTTACTCTCTACTGGTGTATTGGGATCAACTGAGTCTTTCGAATCAGCTTCTTTGCTTTTCTCCTCTTCATTCTCCACCTTATCACCAACAACTTGTTCCTTAGGTATGTTTGTAGTCTTACTCTCACTTTCTCTGCGCTCTGATTTAAACAAATAATACATTCCTGAATTTTTAAAAAAGGTCTGTGGGAGTTGGAGAATAATTCAGCAATCTGTATCAAGATCACAGTTAAATAAACCTCTTCCATTAATTTGAAATTGTATTCACCTATTTAATAATTAAATCTTTTTCTATGCACACTTTTTAACCTTTAATATGCAATAATTCTTTTGCTTAGTAGATTCTGTGATATACAGAACATGCACTGTAATATATGCTATTCAGTTATTGTTAAGACTATTGGAAGTAGTCTGGTAAAAAACAGATATTTAAACAAAGCTTGACATCGTACATATTCACTTACTTTCCAAAGGATGAAATTCCAAGATATTTCCCCCAAGTTCAACTTTGGTAAATGCTTTTAAGCAATGAAAGACACTGCTTCTATTCTCAAGAACAAGGCGAGCAGTACTAAAATAGAGAGAATTCAAATGTTCAAAACTGACATTTATCCAAAGATAAATTAAGACAAAATGTATTTTCTTCTCTTCTCAAGAGCAAGGCGAGCAGTACTAAAATATAGAGAATTCAAATATTAAAAACTGACATTTATCCAAAGATAAATTAAGACAAAATGTAATCCACTACTCATTTCTTCAATAGTAACTTAATAAACTCATGGCGATTTTAATATGAATTATATGATACATATTTAAATACATTCAATGAAATCAGTGTTAAATTTTTTCTCAAGCATTGTGAATTATAGAAGTAAATAAATAGAATTAGCAGTTATAAAAAAAGTTGATTTCTTGAGACTCACCCATCTTTGAATTTATCAGGAGTATAGTTAATCTCTGTTGCAAAGGGAAATAAAACTCTGAGCATTTCTTTGGAGGTGTCATTTGGTAGGTTTTTCACAAAAACCGAGCCAATCACCCTGTTCCTGAATTTTTTACCTAAAGTAAGAGAAAAGTTTCTACTAGGAGCAACGTTCAGTGTTTCAAACCATAAACCTTCAATATGTATGTTTCTTTTTATTACAAACATTGCTTTAGACTATTTAAGAGTAATTTAGACCAGCGTTTCCCAAATTTTTAAGTTTGGCGAAGTTTGGTGGAAAAGTTTCAAAATTGCACCATGGACAGGTGCCAGATTTATTTATTATATTTTCTTTTTATTTGATCATAATGTTCATGTTTTGCATAAAGGCAACATAAGGCTCGCCGCCTAGTGCTGCTCCACCATTTTGGGAACTTTGCTTCAGACCAGTGCTGTCCAACCCGTGGCCCACAAGCTGATTTTAAATGACCCACCACAGCTTGAGACATTTTTATGTGTAAAAAATAAAACATTTTAGGGACAAAAATATTTTCAGACCACATTCATTTATTTAGTATTGTTGGGAAAATTGCCTGAGAGCACAGGAGAAGTTGTAGCATTGCAAAAGGTAGAGGTCACAAAAGCTAAGGAGTGTTATTGCTTGACAGGGAGCAGTAAGTAATTTATGTTGATCACATCATCAAAGCAACCATTTAGGAACCAGGTAACATAAAAATCAGATTCTATCTTCCTCTTCTTTCTATCACAGGGTATCGGGTATAGTTACTGACTGCATTGGGAAAGATGAACAGGGAAACCTAAAGTAACTTGATATGTTGCTATTTGGTCATTTTAACAATGTCCAAGGCCCCACCAACGAGATCAAATTAGATGAAATAGATAGTTGAGCACCAGGACATAAATATGTGCTGCGTGGGATGATAAGAATATGACAGGAAAGTCTACGGGTCAGAGTAATCGAGATAGGAGCTGTGGTACTAAAGTTGTCACAATTGAATGACTATGCTGGGAAGTGTGAAACATTTATGGTACCGCATTATTTGAACAGATAGTCTCGTCTGGGAGAATGTGTGTCCATCCTTAATTGTTGTGAGGTTTGGTATAAATGCCTGGTACTCAGAGATTGGAGCATGAGAAGTTCAAAGAGTAGAAAGCAGGGTACAAGCTGTGTTTTGTTTTAGTTTGTGCAATTCAATCAGGGAGGAGTTGTGTGACACAGCAGCAACAATTCTTGAAAGTACCGGTACTGTATTTATAAACAAACATGAGGCCAAATAAAATCTGAATGACAACATGTTTTTTCTGATGAATTTCCACAACCATGGAAATGTTGTAACAAACTTTTACCATGTTTTTGGCCTCACTCTACATCAGTGAAACTGGATTTTATGTAATGAACATAGATTGAACAACATCAAGTCCAAAAAAAAAAAATGACAGCTTTAACAGGTGACCATTTAGGGCAGGTGCTACTAACCACTACCTCCAATTAAGAAAATTACAAGTAAAATGGAAAGCAAAATATATCATTAAAAGGGGATACAGTTTTCATTCTCTATATTTATAATCTTGATGAGACAATAATGCCTTTGGATATATGACTCTTTTTTGCATAAGTTAAGAGGTATCAAAATATGAATAATTTTTCAACAAAAATTTTTTTTTTAATTTAAAAACTTTCTTTTGAGATGTCATTTGCGGCCCTTCATCCGTGGTAAAAAATATTTTTAGTCAAAAAGGTTGGACAGCTTTGGACAATCTACTAAAGACAATATAGTTTTTTTTTTAGCAATCATAAAATGAATTCTTACCATGCCTGCGAGGTAATGGAGGAATGCACAACATTCTGACCAGCTTTGGATCAAATCTTAAAAGGGCTGGAAAATGAAGTGGACAAAAAGACAGGGAAAAAATGGCTTGAAATAGGCATTTTAGAACAAAGAGAATTAAAAACTAAATCTAAAATTTTAACAATCTTTGGTAATGAAACAAACATACACAGAGATAAATTTTCACAGACATGACTATAACTGGTGCATTTATAAATTTGAATTTTAAATTAAAAAATAATGGTCATCTTAAAAACAGAGCTCTGTGTGCCATTTAATACACAAACATCAGTTGTCAATGATGTTAATTACTTTCCTTTTCTACGACCACATCACCGTCAATGTTATTATTAATTACCTTTCTGTTCTACGGCCCCTTCACCGTTCTTTTTGATAATCTCAATATTAATCTCTGGGTAGTACAGGAACTCTAACTTCATCAGGTTATGGACCACTCTGATGGCTTGCTTTGTTGATGATGCAAACATTTCTCCTTTTCTATTTTAGCAGGTAGAAATAAATGTAATTAAATGATGAGGAACAAAAGTCAAACATGGATTTATTTAAAATATATACTTAACAGGCGCATTATCAAATACCCATGAGCTTGAGCAATAAAGATATTGCATGATCAAAAATATCACAATTTTAAGTACATGCAGACACAAACGTGTAGGCGTTCTACTTACCCACTTGCATATTTATTCATGGCAACAATGTAAATTAAGCTCTCCTTGGCAGCTTGAAAAACACTAGTGATCTGTCCACTCGTAAAATTTCCTGCTTTCAAAGGATAAACTTTAACTTGCCATTTACGCTCTGTGGATAAATATTCAATAACATCTATATTTTTTTTAAAAAAGGTAATTTGAAAATGAAAATCTTAAAACTTTTCTCTGTGTGGGATTAGGAAATTAGTGAAAGGGTGTTCCACAAATGTATAAGTTTTATAAAATAAAAGAAACTAAACTTTAATAAAATGTCAGGGATTCAACTCTGGGGAATGGACATGTTTTGCACTGGTAATATAAAATGAATGAACCGATTTTATCTTAAAAATATTTTATAAAACTTACTAGCAAGAAGCGAAACATTGACCTGAGGCATTACATTTGGATCTGCATTTTTATCTATATTTATGTTGTCTTCATCATCGTCATCATCCTCGTCACCATCTTCATCTAAATCATCTCCCTTTTTTTTGTCAATTTTTTCCTTTGGTTTAGTCTCTCCTACATCTTCAGATGGATCATTTACAGCCCCATTTTCTGTTCCTGCTGCCTCATTAATTGCCTGAGATTCACTTGGAGCAGCTGGGTTTTCAAGACTATCACTTGGTTCAGTGTTTTGCGCTTGCTCTTCTTGAGTCTCTAACTGTGTTTCATTGGGCTCTTGTATTTGGGAATCTGCCATGTTCGTATCCTAAAAGCATAATATATAACTATGAGCTTTATCGCACACAAATAAAATATAAACATGTGGTGTAGTGTGCCTCCTCTGTATTAATAAGGAGAAAATAAAACAGTATATTAAATTGTGAAAATATGATTTTAAAAATGTATAAAATTTGAGTTAAAACATTAATTCAAAATATTTATGTTAGAATATATAAATAAATATGAATAGGCAAAAAGCTTGCAAATATAGAAAACACAGCTATGGCACACTATTGGCTGATGGATGGGAGGAAACAGAAGAAGAAAAACAGATGCTATGGACAAGGGCGAAGGTACTAACTAACGCACATATTCTGGTGAAGGTCTGAGATTACTCTCTTATGACCCCGGCTAGTAAATTGGCTATCAACTCCATCTGTTGAGCTGAGCCATACAACATGTCCCTCACAAAGGATCCTCCAACCGCCCTGGCTTCCCCCGGGAGATCTAGTGCGGGACACTCCGTCAACAGATGTTCTAAGGTCTCCGGGGCCAGGCTGCAGTGCCGGCAGGTAGGATCTCTGTTGTTGTCCAACCTCCAGAAATATGTGCGCAGGGGGCAGTGCTCGGTGCGCATCTGCGTTACTAAACTCTGCACTCTACGACCTAACCCCCACCATGGGTCTTGTTTGCTAGGAGTAGGCAAGTTCGAATAGACGCCTCTGGCGGTCGTGTTGTCAGCCCATTGCCTGTACCACTTCTGCCTGAAGTGGTCCGCCAGCCAGTTTTTGACTCCCAAGAAAGTCATTGGTACTTCTGGCTGAGGCTGGGCTGCCCCGGTTTTCGCCAGAGTGTCAGCTATCTCATTGCCACTGATGTTGACATGCCCTGGTATCCATTGCATTTCAACCTTGCACCCTATTTCATCAAGTATGCATATGTCGTTGTGAATGACGTCGAAGGTACTAAACCAAATGATAAAGTGCCAGATGAAGTAGCACCTTCAGTAGAGCTATAACTGCACAGCTAATTCATCCTCATCTTCACAATTAAAGTTGTAATATATTCATTGGTGAGAACTATCGCATACCATTATATATGGTTTTTATTAATTTAATCTGCTTTATGATTTGGCTTGTTAATCAAAGAGTGAAAACCAATATACACAGAAAAATGATAACAAAGTTGTGATTTTAACAATATTTAATTTAATTACACTATTCAATTTCTAAAAAAATACATAGTCAAAAATGCAGGAACAAAAAACTATATTAATTTACAGACACACTCTTGCAATTATATAAGTCTGGTATATGTCTAGGAAAATATATCTCGCTGCTAGGAAAGCCGCCGGCCTATATATAAGGCTTAAATCAGAACCACCCAGAATGAAATTTTATAAAATGCATCACCCGATAGCATTTCCCAATCATGAATGGAACAAGCTCAAACTTAGCACACATAACATAACTTCATTATCCATATTCAAAAAACCAGTACTAAAGTTTAATGAACTCATTATTTTAATTTTTCCTAAAACTAGCCAATATACACACCGATTTTATAATAAATTTATTTTGTGAACATGCTTTTAGTTTGACAAGTTAAGCATCAATAAATAATTTTGGTATAATTTAATATAAATCTAATTTCTTGGTTTGTTTTTTGAGATTATGCTTTCAGTTAAAAAAATTGCAATCTGGCATGTAGGGTAACTTAAAAAAAAAAAAGAAAATGGAGAAATCATTTACGGTTTAAGATATCGGGGGCTGTAAAAATCAATAAAAAGAAAGGTTATTGCTATACAATTTAGTGTTAGTGCTAACTAATACCTTCTTGACTAAATTTATAAAGAATACACGTAAGATTACACGCAATAATATGACATTCGATCAGAAATAATATACGCCTACAAGATAACCCAAAAAACCTCACTCAATGGGAATGTAGGTCAACATTTCTTCTAATGTGAATGGGCAGAGTCAGACCTTAATTATGATCCAAAAGGACTCATGTCTCATTAACATTACACTCACATAGAAAAAATGTTTAATCTCGGATCCCATTGCGCCGAGGCCCGATACAAATTTTCTAGGCCTAAGAGTAGCCTAGGAGTGTCCCTGATTTACCAGCCTATAGTCTAGTGCACATGTGTCAAACTCAAGGCCTGCGGCCACACCCGGCCCACCGAACAATTATATCAGGCCCGTGAGGTCTTGACTGGCGTACAATTATATCAAAGTCAACGCTATGGTGTTTCTAAATGCACATTTTGCTGAAAAACTTAGCTTACGTCGCGCTGAATTCGCAAGGCGCTTTGGTGACTCTGAAGCACAAAAATGTAATTTCGAGCCGTAACCCATTTGTCATAGACGTGGATACTGCACTTGCAAATTTGCAGATAGAGCTGCAGTGCAATGGGACACTAAAGGCAAAGTACGACACAGTTGGGCCTGCGCAGTTTGCTTGTTTCATTCACGAAGAGATGCTCCAGCTTCGTCTATATGCGGTTCGAACCTTGAGCATGTTGGGTAGTGCATTTATGAATGTGTGAGCAGCTGTTTTCTGAGATGAAGATTAACAAAACATCACACAGGAGTCGTCTCACTGGTGAACACTTGCAGTCCATCATGAGAATCTCAATGACACATAACATTACTCGCAACATAAACGAACTTACTTGTTTTTGTAGCCAAGAAAATGTGCCAAACATCCAGCTCCGACAAATTGGCATAAGAATGAAAATAAAATTGGTATGCCAATGATTTTTAATTATTAAAACTTTTTTCTGTTTTCATTTATATATAGGCTAGATACTTCGGTGAAACAAGGGAGACCACGTCAAAATTTGTATCGGAAGTAGGCGTCGGCGCAGTAAAATCCGACTTTTTAATTTTTTAATGTGAGTGTAGATTAATTAATAAATGAGTCCTTTTGACATTTAATTGAGTTCCGCTTCCGCCCTTTCACTTTGGGAGACATATTGGCCTACATTTCCATCCAGCTATTGTGCCTTTTCAATCGACCTTTATTTTTGAAAATCCTTTGTGTATATAAGGCATCTTCACATACAAAATTTTTTGTGAAATAATAAAATAAGGTCATTTTTTATTAAATCTGTATGAGCATTAGATATTGATCTGTATCTGTGCCAATTCTCATCAAGGTAGGTCATGTCCCACATTAGTTATGCTTGTCACAGTAACCTGTATTGTCATTAGGTCGCCTAGCCCAATTTCGATAAGGATGTGACCACGCCCCCTTTTAAATGGCGGAAGACGCAGATTAGTTTCGGGTCACTTATGTTGTCTTTGTTTTAGCATTAAAACACAAATATTAAGGGTTTTAACTAGAAATAACAGTAAAAACTTAATAAATAACATTGAATAAACATACTGAATGTATATGGATGATGTGGTAGCTGAGTAATGAAGTGAAGAAGTCACACAGTGACACTGGTCAATAGTGTAGTGAGTGTGCAACCGTTGCCAGGGGCAACTATTACTACTACCTTACTTATATTTAGATGTGTGTGCATTACTTGCCATAGTTGGTTATAACTAATAACTGTATTAGTATAACCCTTAGGTGAAGTTTATATTCTTACTAATTAACCTAAATTTTGCCTGGAAAACAGCCTGTGCACAAGTCACACTCATATTATTGAGATGCAAATGGACTTATATTATAAGTTATATACTACTTCGTTTATTAAAACTATTTTTTTTTTAATACTAGCTAAGTCAAAAACTTTGTTGATTGACTTCAAACTTTAATGACTTCTTAACCACACTGATTAATTTTTTTATTGACCTTAATCATTTATGACATGTTATTAATCCATTTTCTAAAGGCAGAAAATTTCATTTTTTATTGTAGCTTTAATTTATATTTCTTTAAATTTGATTGATTTTTAAAAATGAAATTCCAGAATGGCAGAAGCAGCAAAAAAGGCTATTAGTGATCTAAATGATCTTTTAAGCTCTTACGACAATCTTGGCAATGACCTAGTTCTTACCAATGGCCACATCATTAACAGGCTTAATGGAAATAAAAAAAGTTTTCACAACACTGCTAAAGCAATTATTTTAGAAATTCAAAAACTATCAACTCCAAATGTTATGGAGGTCCATAAAAATGATATTCCTAAGTTAACATTAAGAATAAAAGATTTGTATTGTAATAAATATGCACATTTAATTAAACACAAATCAAGGCATTGGAATGAAATAGTGAAACTTTTGTCCGAAAAATTTTCTTTTTTTAATGTTCCAAAATCTAACTTAGATGAACATAATAAAAATGTTAGGACTTCAGATCCATCCACTAGTGACCCAGGTCCATCCACCAGTGACCCAGGTCCATCCACCAGTGACCCAGGTCCATCCACCAGTGACCCAGGTCCATCCACCAGTGACCCAGGTCCATCTACCAGTGACCTTTTAACTTTACGAAATGATTGCATTAACTGTTCTTTAAAGAGAAAGATCAATGAGAAACTAACAGAAAAAAATAAAAAACTAAAAATTCAAAAAGCGGCAATTAAAAGGCAGTTTAAAGTTAAAAAAGTTAATCAGAAAGTAAAAAGATTAACTAGTAGTCTCCAAACAAAACAACAGAGAAATAGAGAAATAGTGAGGAAAAATTCAAATTTAAATCGCCAAGTTAAATTTTTACAGAAAAAGCAAGGGATGCTTAAATTCATAATTACAAGTCTTAAAAGATCCCACAAATATTTATTCCTAAGTTAACATTAAGAATAAAAGATTTGTATTGTAATAAATATGCACATTTAATTAAACACAAATCAAGGCATTGGAATGAAATAGTGAAACTTTTGTCCGAAAAATTTTCTTTTTTTAATCTTCCAAAATCTAACTTAGATGAACATAATAAAAATGTTAGGACTTCAGATCCATCCACTAGTGACCCAGGTCCATCCACCAGTGACCCAGGTCCATCCACCAGTGACCCAGGTCCATCTACCAGTGACCTTTTAACTTTACGAAATGATTGCATTAACTGTTCTTTAAAGAGAAAGATTAATGAGA